CTGTGACGAGCATGAAATTAACCCCTCGGTAGATGACCTTTCGACCAAGATACGGACGTTGGCACTTGCGACAGCCTAGAAAAGGCATATTTTGCAAAACATCGAAGCGCACACTAGCTCAACCCATGAAAGCCCTTCTTGCATAGTATTTCACTACCCAACTACCCACTTTCAATCAGCTGTCCATGATGCGGTCTTAGTTCTGTTCAGTTCAGATTTATTAAGTGAAATATAGGCGAGCGACTTTAAACTACCTATTGGTTCGAAATATTTTGTGAGACGCTTTGATAAGTAGAAAGTTGTGGTGGGCCCTCTTGCATAATTGCCTGTGGATAGCAGACAGCTTCCAACTAGTCTAAAAAGTGTAATCGCTTAGGGTTATTCTGTCAATGTGGTGAGTATAAGCATGCAAGATTTTGGCGGTGAGTTATGTGACTGATAATTGGGAAGCTTGATACGCGTCGAGTCTTCACTTAGATGAGTCCTCACAGGAGGAGACTTCAGCATCAGTAGGCAGGGCATTGCACACTGCAAGCACTCTGTTACCGTAGAGGAAATTTCTTTCATTGATCCGTGCTTTACCGGCGCGTACTTTTCGGGGAATACCGCGCAAGGTGGGCGTGTTAGCTTGAGCGCAGTTGTCTGTAGGAAAGAGGAAACAGATTGAGAATTGACAGTCTGGTTTCATAGGGCAGTGTTCACAGACCTTTTGTCATTTTTGTCGTCTGTCTCTGAACCTTCTCTAAGACGGTATAGTCCATGGCAGTGCAAGTTCTGAATGCCTTTGCGGCTTATCATAGATGAGGCCGCACGACGGTGCCAAATATTTTAAAAAAGCAGTCAGTGTCAAATCCCATAAAGACTCGCCTAAGGAGTTGCAATGTAGTCATGGCCGACTTAGCCGCCTTCGCGCAGTTCAGCGTTGGTTTCAGTGAAGATGTAATTCACACACTCAATTCCTTCTGACTGTCAATTTGTTGCAGTGATGTGCCATGAAGAAAGTAAGTCCTGGAGTTGAAGGCTCTGCAGCTGCCGAGTTGAAGGAAGTTGCACTTGTTTACATTGAATGGCATAAGCCAGCGCTTCAACCAGTCCTCGAGCCTCTGCAAGTTTTTTTGCAGGTAGTCTCCGTCTGCCGCATTGTGAATAACTATCCACAATCTTATGTCGTCAGCAAACTGGGTGGTATCACAGTCTAGGTCCCTGATACAGTCATTTACAAATACGCAAAGGCTTTACGGCGGGAATTTGGGCAATCTGGAGATTTGCAGTTACTTGCTCGCATGTATGCCAGAGTAATCGGTAATTCTGGCCACCGGCCTACATACGATAACAGGCCCATCAGATTAACAAGCCTCTCTCTATCTCCACGCCACGGTTATCGCAACAGCAAAAGCGTTCCAATATACGTGTAGACAATGGCGTCCGCTGATATATGCACCAAGTATGCCACGTGCCACCGAGGTTTTTCCAATTCTCTGCGACCTAATCAACCGACCACATACTGATCTTGCGATTTTAAGTTACGGGAATATGAAATTTCCGATAATACAAGTGCTGTTGTGCTAAAAATCTACGTAGATTAGAAGTAACATTAAGGTTTCGGTAAAAACATTAAAATTAGCAATCTGTCTGGCAGTGCAAAACCACCTATATCAGCTTGGTGACGATTTCCTATTGTCATGTATCACAAATCACCTGAATGTTGGTAATGGCATTCTGTTGTGACTTAACATAGCAGAGATTTAGATGAAGAGGTTTACAAAGGGAGCCAACATAGTGGAGTGTCTTACATTCTACCTCATCTGTTTTCCACCTTCTAAAACTGGCAAAAGTGTTTTTTAAAACGCGATGCGTCGCAAGTTGAAAAGAGCCGAATGTATCTTCCTCACAGGCTCTACATGCGGTAGGTAAAACAGTCTAACTTACATATTCCGCCGTAACATGTGGGGATCTAAATGAACGTTTTTCTCAAATTAATCTTCGACGCAAAGCCAAAATACCTTGGCCCTGCATCTGACGTCCATTTGAATTTACGGGAGAAGACGTAACAAAGGGTAGTCTCAAGCGTGTATTTGACTAGAATTAGTTTGCCGGTTCACATTTATCAGGCGGTACATGACGGAACCACAAAGCAATCAAATAGACACCGTTTGCTTTTAATACCACAGGCTGCACTTCAATTAATAACAACACTCTTTGTCCAAAAAGATGATAACCATTTTCTGGGTATACAATGCCTGCTGGATGTCGTCAAATCAGTTGGCTGACCGAAGCGAGAAATGGAGTGATGTCCAGGGTAGGGGTCGGAGAGTGAGGACGAGTGAGTTCGTATTCCGTAGAGCATATAATTCAGTTTAAACAATCAAACGCGCACGGATTTTTCATACTGCACTAGAAGCTGTTTCTTGAAAAGGCTACCGACTCGCTCCTCCTCTCAGGACGGATGTCTGCTTCTTCATGTGGCCTTTACGGTGCTGTCATTCAGTCCAATTGCAAAATGTCCTCAGAGCTAATTACTTAGTGTGCTATATCTTGCTTGCTTGTGTGTAAATCCGTGGAAGTGTGTGTGTGTGTTGGCAGGCCTAGGCGCGGGATCACACTGTTCCAGCCCCAGCGTCCGGTCTATTCTCCGGTCTTCTAGACAATCTTGTGATATAACGCCCAGGTGGACGACGATAAAGTTAATGCATAAATACTGCGCAAGTCTACTATTACTGCAAACGAATTCACACGTGATTCACCGTCCGAATTATACCCACATAGACTGACACACAGTTATATATAATGCCAATGAAATCAAGCTTGGGTAAAAACAGTATCTTGGTCTATTACATAAGTGTCAAAAGCGAAGTAGACACATTAAGGCGGAACCACTGCAGGGAGACTCTTTTTTCTGAAGTCAAACGATTTATTTACTCACTTGAGAGCCTCTGAAATCGCGAATGCCACTCCATGATTCCAGTTGAAATGTAGGAATAGCAGCCACTTGGCGACACCGACGAAATCGAAGAGACCAGTCACATGAGGCAGTGGTGAAGAGCGAGACGCGAATGCTTGCGGAAGCGCTCTATTCGCCTGACGATTCGGACTCACGCTCGAGCACATCACCAGCGAAAACGGTCGATAGGGCTATTCCATTCGCATGAAGTACAGTATTAATGCTGTGCAGCCAACATGCTGCAGCATACCAATGAAAATTCACTGCTGCTGCCCGCATCATCCCGAATGGTTGCACTTGGTATGATGACTGTTCGATGGCCGAAATTCGAGTCGTTAATCATTGAGTTGTCATCACAGGTACTCGATGTCGGCGTGATGATTGTTCAACCAGTGGAAATAGTACTCACTGTCCATGTCACATGCCAGTCTCGGACAGAGCAGTTCCTGTTATCCCTGTTCTAACTTCGACGATGGGGTAGCACACCTCGGCAAATTTTAGACAGAGTAATTTCCCTCGTAACGATTGTGTTCTAACAAATGCATCCACTTTTGATGCAACACCCCAACGTAAATAATCAGCTAAGTTTGGGATGACTACATGACAAGTATAATTAATATTGCGGCAACGTTATTTGTTTCCGCGGAGGAATCACAATCTCTGCTTACTGCTCGTTGAACTTTTCAATTAATACTTTGTCTGTATCTTAGAAAATTTAGAGAACACTCAGTATGACGTAAGCTGATATGAAGTATGTGTTACTTGACGTTAATGTTTGACTCGGTGGTTTGAATACTAATGCTGTCGCCATTAGTTCGGGCAAAGAGAGCGGACATGTTTTATCAAAATAGGACATTGAAAGGACGTTTGCCAACATTTAAGCCACAGGGTTTCCGAGAACCAATTAATGCAACGCCTGATTTATCAGGCATTGATGCACTGAGTGTGATACTTGTTCGATTGCCGACATCTGATTAGTTAATCGCTGCATTTCCGTCATGGGTGTTGGATGTTGGCGCGATGAATGCTAGACCATTGGGAATAGTAGTAACCATTACTGGTGCATGCCCTGTCCTCATCTCGTCGATGAGATCGCGCAACACGATGTCCCTAACACCAAGACGGTAACCGATAAAATACAGACAAATTTATCCATTGTTGATCATCAAATTATGTGAGGGCTGCAGGATGACACCAGTTAATAATACGAAGGCATTTTGGTTTTGAAGATGAATAATAATATTTACCCGGTTGACAGCCTTTCAAGCCGCGAATACCTGTTCATCCAGTCGGCCGAGGTTGGCGTCATTATCTTCGATTGAGTAAATTTAACATTTGCCTACACTCCCATCTCTGATACACGTCTGATTCAGAGAGAGAGAGAGAGAGCAGATTCTGAAGCCCCATGTCGTCGATGGCACCAGTACGCAATTAAATACTATTCAGAACGAAGCCTCTACGTTTAAGACCTTAAACGATAATATTCCAATTAATTTACCTATTGGTAAGTTTCATTAAACCCTAACGCCAATGATCGGCAGGGATTGGGAGGCCTGCTAGCCGACTGCAGTTTATTCTGAAAAGACATCTTAGTCTCGGAAAAGAAATCGTAATGCAACCTTAACCTCCTTTGAAATTGTGACCTTATTATCTGACTGGTAATTAAGCAATTTTGGGAACGCACGGAATGGCATCAGCTGACACAAAGCATGTGTCTTTTGACGTGAAATTTAGAACCGCTGATTTTGTTATGTAAGTGTGATTGTCTATGCTGTTGCCACTGGTTCAGCTGGGGAAAGCGAGCTTCTGTAATTAAAGGAGGGCTCAAGGGATTTTTACTCGATAAGGGGTAAAAGGTTTCCTAAAATAAGTATATGCAATATTTGAAAGAGCACATTGATATTGGTGAGCTCGTACGTCATATGTTTTCCATAGGAGGCTCGTATTTGCAATTGCCAATGGGGGGAGGTAAGGTGGGATTGCCCTATGCATGCTTATTGGCACAAGCGTCGTATATAAAGAGCACGTCTACGTGGCCTGCGCGCGTAGACCTATGGAAATGTTTGTGCAGCTCCTTTCACTGGCAATAGCTTATGGCGTCTGCGGACAGGGTGAATTTATTTGAAAATTCTATTGCCAAAACCTACAGTTTTGCTTTCTGTCATATTTTTAATACAAAGCTGAATGGAAAAATTTTGCACGCCAAATTTGCACTTTGCCGTTTCCTTTACAGAGGACACGAGCACCTTGGAATTTAAACAGAACAGCGATTATGTTTATACGAAAAGCCTCTATGGGGACGTTGAGGTAATCGTTGCCTGCTGTGCGATGCGATGAGTTTCCCCTTTCATTGAGGTAACAAAATCTTTTCTTCACATAGTACATGACCGTTGACGACGTGCGCATTTCAGAGGCTACAAATGGCTCGCACTGTATCGGGCCGAATGACTGCTGGGAAATTATCCGACGTAAGATATTCATTTGGAATTTCGTTCCTTAAAAACCCACTTAGTTAAGAAAAAGACGTTGCACACTTAACAGAAAAATAAGTAGTCAGGTACACAAGCAGTTCGTTCTTCTGAAGGATGCATGCAAATAGGTTTTTTTAGACGTGAAATTCTCAGGGTCCTTTGAGCGCTTGTTGCATGCGCAATTATGTGGAAGATAGTACTGGCAACAATGGAGAAAAAAGGAATAAGCTGACTTGTAAATAAATATTTACTAACGTAGAAACTATTTATTCTGCCTGAAAATTAGAATTTCAGAAAATGTCTTTATTATAAATCGACTCAAATGAATTCCATGAACACAGATAACAAGACCAAATCTATGACATACTTCACACTCACATTTACGCCACAACACTTCACGAGTTAGAACACCTGCAAGTGGGGTCATAGCAACAAATAAAAGGGAGACCCAAATGACCGTTTCTGTCGTATTGGCCGTCATCAGCCAGTTATACCCAACGTCAAGTGTGGATCATTGGAGATTCGAACCTGGGATCTTTGGTCATGGAGTTTGACATTCCACCATTGAGCCACGGACACGTTGTCCTGTCGGTTGTAATGGCGCATATAATTTATGGCAGTTGGGAGCTTCGCCGAACGTTTTACGAAATGTGCTCGTTCCCATGTGCCTTAGTGCTCAAACTGGGACCCTCGAACGCAGTCGCTCGGCGAATGGTACTATGTGTGCTAGTAGGATGATGCCGACAAAGACGAATGTTTAATAACGGTGACCGTTTCTAATGATGACATTTATTGAGACCGCGCAATGATCATTCATATACCATCCTACATGTCCGTTTACAACAGCTGCTCTTAAAATGTACAACATAGTCCGCATTCATTGCAAAATATTATGGACTCCCTATATTATCTTTTTGAAAGCACAGAAGAATGTGTGATTTTCTTTACACGGAACGCATAAACCTTGTGAACTGAAATCATTATGCGCTCATAAAACAACAAATCAGGCTCCAAATCATTCGACAATCATAAAACTTTTCTAAAACCTAATTATACTCACTGTTCGAGCATAAAATATAAAGAGGAAGTAATCCGGTATCAAAAAACTAAGATACAGGCATTTTTACTCATGCTTTGAATTAAATATTATTGAATTTGCAAGACAATCGAAAACAACTAAGAGAAATTTATATTACATCATTAGTCATTTTTTTACTATGTTCGGTTGTTGCAGAAGATTGGGAAGCAGAATAATCAAAAGCTTACATCCCGCTGAGTCCAACATATTATGTCATTATGCAGGAGGATAGTCAGCATTTTAACCGCGCTTAAAAAAATCGAAAACGCATTTCAGACTTTCAGACAACATTTCATGTAATCGATCACTCAATGAATGTGCGAGTGAGGTGATACTGACAAAGGCAAATACTTAATAATGGTGAGACAATTTCCAGTCTAATATGTCTTCCGCTCTTTAACACTTATGTCCCAGATATTCAAAGAAAATTGCATTGCACTGGGGAAAACAGACGCGATCATAATTATGGAGTGTTTACCTCATATTTGCGGCAAAAGTATGCTGGTAAGTGTTAAAATGAGGTAGCCAGGATTAGATTTACATAGGCTTTAGTGTGTTTCACACTCATCTCTGTCCATAATTTACAAATAAATCTTTCCTTCAAAAGCCAGACAGTACATGATCGTTAATGGTTTCCTGGAGGAATATCGGGCAGCATTCGTGTTGGAGCCGAAGGATCCTGTTGGCAGATGCTCTGTTGGAGTACAGTACAAAAGTGCCAGCATATCGGAGTGTAAGTCAAAGTAACCAATTCAGTCAATTTACATTAACATTGTGTCATAAATGTGTTTATATCCGTTAATCTTCGTGGCAGGCATTAGTGAAGTCACTTACTTAGCTCATAAAAACAAAAAGAGTACAATAGGCAGAAATGTGCATCCTAACGGTGATTATGTGTGTTGCCTGTCGATCTGCTGGAATGTATTTTGAGTTAAGGCAAAAAATAAGCTGGCCTCTTGTAGTTTAAGCAGCTTTAGAAATTGCGTTTCAAAAATACCACATTTAATGATTTCTCCTCTAGATATACCGCTGCCATCTGGAGCAGTATCTGTCTTCTCGAAAGAAATCCTCAAAAATGAAAGACTCATTCATATTCTGCTGTTCAATGGAAAACTTTCGGTAATCATCGGAAACCAATTTTATCATTCCAACTACGCGGTCAAAATTGTGCTTCTAAGCGCCTTACATGAGAACCGTTAGCGTGTAGGGATAAGCATGATATTATTCATTTTAATTAATTTGAGGAACCTATTTAATTGACGCACTAGCATGCGCCATTTTATAACTACTTGGAACTGACGAAAAAGCATCATTAGTAAATAGATAAATTGAACCTTTATTTCTTCCATGTTAAGTAGATGCAGTTGGTTTTGTTCAGTCAAACTGATTTTTGTTTGTTGTTGAAGTGATTTTGGCATTAATCTATTTCATTGTCCCCAGCAGTAAGCTTCTAGGCGAGTAGAATAACGACTCCGGCACCATTTCATGTTCGTCATCTTTCAGACCATATACCGCGCGGGGGACATTTCGGTAGACAAAAGAAACGACAGTATTTTATCAGTTCTCGGGTTGTTCGGTAAGTGCATAATTCGGTGTTGCCAAAGATTTCATTAAGGTCATGTCAATGGAAATGATTCTTGCAAAACACTTTGGAAAACAGTTTTCCACATAAAACAGTTTTTACATGCATGTGTACTTTCAGTGGAGAGAAAGGAACTTGTACTATTTA